TACTACTACTACTACTACTACTACTACTACTACTACTACTACTACTACTACTACTACTCCTGCTACTACTACTACTACGACCACCACCACAAATACTAATACAACTACTGTCAACATCTATCAACTAATACCACCCCAACAACTACAACTACAAACTACAACAACAACTACTTCTACTTCTACTCGTGCTCCATAACAACAACAACTACTACTACTACTGCTACTACTGCTACTGCTGCTACTGCTACTGCTACTACTTCTACTACTACTCCCTCCCCGTCCCTTTTCCCTTCCTTCCTGCAACAACATCTACCACCAGGACAACAACCTCATCCCCTCTCCCTAAATGAATCCCTTCCTCTGGAAAACACACAAAAAAGCATTCCAGTTGTGGGCCCGGCTTTCGGGCGTAAGACATCACATAATTATATCTAGCGATCTTCGGGGGTACGTGGTTTTTTCGTGGGCCTTGTCATGACATGGAGTCGAGCTAATACCGGTGGAATATCTGCAAAAGGGCTGCGGTGTTCCATTTTTTAGAGGAATAGCTGTATGGAATGATTTGAACTACTGGGATTCCAACTGGCTTTCTACTGGAAAGTAGTGCTGACTGAAGAAAGAAACGGAGACTTGCCCAAGACACCCGCCACTTGGTGGTTGATTGAATATTAGAAAGGGACATCCACGATCTACTATCCACTGCGTGCTAGTGGCTGGGTGACAACACAAGTAATCTCACCAGTATTTCATCCCACTGCATGTCCAGTATGTCATCCCGCCGTCACCCTGTTTTTGTCATGCAGTGATAAACCAATGCCTCCAAAACGAGGGCACATTGAATTAGCACCAGCGCTCGTTGGTTGGAACTTTATCATTGCGACGGAGAAAAGACCTGATTGCCGGTGTTTATGGACAATAGATCTACACCACCCTCTGGAACCGAGGAAACTGTTTCTTGTTGGCATGGCTGATTCCGCGTCACATAATAAGAGAAAAGCTCCTCCTTCCGCGCCTCCATGGTGTGTGCAATCCTTCGACAAAATAGACTAAAACCATCTCCAGAACCGTCTGCCCATCGCAGCAACAATTCATCTCCAAAAGGTTTATATTAAGAGTCCCATTCAAACTCAAAGCACAACATAACAAAAACTCGAGTACTGTCACTGTCTGTAGATATGTATGTTGTTTTTGGGGTACTCATTCAAAAACTACTCTGATTCAACATTGATTCATTTCTTCCTCTCGTGGGACTGGACGATGTTCGCGTCAGCGTCAGCGTCAGCGTCAGCTTTGGAGCGCTCAATCTTCGATGGGATCCTCTGGCAACGCCTCAAGAGCTGCAGGTGTTTTAATATGTTTTAATGCAACGGAGCTGACAAAAGGAATTACACACTGACTATTTTCCATTTCAGCGTATGCACGGTGCCGTGTTAGGGCTCAGCGTCTAGCACTATGAATTCCACCTAATTACACACTGACTCACCAAAATGAAAGTGGCTGTAATGGCGAGCTTTTTTGACTCTCTAGAAACAAGGAGATCAGGTCTCAAAACGGAACTCTTTTCTAGCGGATACCGTCCAAACTTGCTGCTACTATATAAAATAAACCTTGATAGATAGAGCCACTAGTTACTGAATCAACAAGCAGTTGCCAGAAGACCCACAAGTTGCTTCCTAAGCCCCAAAAGTATATCAATTGGGAAGTCACATAAAGGTAACAAATCCAGAAGCGCCCAACTAAGTGACTTCCCAGCAGGGATTTGTGTGATACGACTTGATGCAATTTTTGTTTGGAACACACCTTGACCGTATTTGCTGCAACACTCATTCACAACCTTCTTTTTGCGACTCAGATCGCTCCTCTTGGCAGTCTTTGACTTATGCAACCCCCAAGCTCATGTGTCCCTTTATATAT